GGTTGTTGGGAAAGTGGGAATGACTTCCCAGGCTTTCCGACTGGTCTTATGGCAAAAGTAGCATCAACAATTGTACACTCTTTTTGTATCTATAATAATATAAAGTATAAAAATATTGAAGGGTGAAATCGGAAAAGAGGAAGAAGATATTCAACATTTTCATATTGTTTACATGCCCATTCTCCAACTCACTCCTTTTTAGAGCTATACATGTTCTTAATTTGATATATCTTTGTTTGAATGTTTTTATATGTAATTATATATATTCACATAATTTTCACCCTTGATAATAATATTGGGCATTATCTCCTTTGCGCAACGCGCATCATAAAACTAGTGTTAGAATAAAATGGCAATAGTACGTACGTGATGTGGCGTGTTTTAATAAAAAAAAATATGGTGACCCAAACTAATTAATGATAAGATTAAGTTAAATATGTTTATAGCCTTTAATTTTCGTAGAGCAAGTTGCTAGTTAAGGTGTATCCTTTCGCTACCAGTATTACGCTAATAATAATTATTAATATGTCTAAATTGTTCTTTTCTTTCTAGCATCTACATTTTCGATCCTTATTGACAGTGTTCTATATATATAACAGTGTGAGTTTAATTAAGAAATATTTTTCAATATTAATTAAGAAAATTAAATTTACGAACAACAATTTATTAGATTAAATTAGTACGTAGTATTGATCATAAACATCAAGCTAAGTGTTTTAAATAAATATACACGAAAACATATATGTAAACCTAACCTTCTAGCTAGGAAGCACACGTAGCAACCAAAAGCTAACAAAATCTGGACATGATTGTATTTGCATGTGTTTCATTTTAAAGAATTTATCCTAAATAGGACCAAAACATGGTTAAAAACCCAAAGTAGGAGTTATAATGTTTTATTCCCTTTATAGGAGTTATCTGCTCCTCTTTCGCGTTTTTAATGTTTACGCAATGTCCATAGTGCCCCTGTCTTACTCATCGCCTTTCTCCCGTTCGTAACCCTCCTCTTCCTCTCCGGCTCGAATTTTTGTTTCTGCGCTTCCTCTCCTCATCTTTCCCTCTGGCTCCAATTTAGTTCCAGCCCCTGTTATCCCTTGTTAATCTCTCTACTACATTAAATTTTGTGATTAAAAAATCCTATCAATTTCAGAAATTAAATCCAGGTATCCCTTCTCTTACTCTTCCTCCTCCAATGTCTTTATCTTCCTCGCATTCCTCTTCTTCTTCTTCAAATTTCAAGTCCTATGTTCTCTTCTTCTTTGGATTTTTTGGGTTTGAATTTTATCTATTAATTTGGATTTTTTGGATTTGAGTTTTATTTATTCAGGAAAATGACACTTTAATAATTTGAGATTGTAAAAATTATTGCTTATTTGAAAAAAATGTCACCTTTGTGGCAGTACATTTACCAGGATGACAATCTGAAAATGTCATTTTTGTTTTGAAAATGACAATTTCGCTTTTTGGAAATGTCATTTTCTTCTTTGAAACTGTCACCTTAGCAATGTCATTTGTTCTTCCTTTCACTTTTTAAAAAATGTCATGCTTATTCTCAGAATGTCATCATAATGACATTTTTACTCTATGAAAATGTCATATTTTGCTCTGAAAATGCAATAAATATGTAAAGTGAAAATGTCACCTTGATAAATGATGACATTACACTGACTATTTTTAAATCGGTATTCAATAAATTACAATTATGACATTTTCATGTTCAAATAATCGGGAAAATAATATGAATATTTTAAATTAAACTAATTAGAATTAGTAAAAAATTGAAAAGATCAAGAAGAAATTAGATAGAAAGTGGATGAAGAAAACAGGGGGAACGTGAGAAGGAGAAAACGAAGGAAGAGGCTGAGAAGGAGGAAACGTACCTGGATAGCACAGTCACGGCCGACATTCATGGCATATGGGCCTTCAATTCTATCGTCTGCACTTATCGCAGATTCAATTCGCAAGTAGCAGACTTAAGAAAAAGGAATGACGGGCAATTTCGGCATTTCATTCTAATTTTAGTCCTACGAGATCACAGGAAGAAGTAGTAGTCCTATAATTGCAATTTTCATATCTTTTAATCCTATTTGGGAAATTCTCTCTTCATTTTATTGTGATGTTATGTTTTAATAAGTTGGCACTACCAACACCGTTCTAAAACTTATGATGCTATGTAATGATAATAGGAGTTATTTTAAGTTGTTTTGTGTGAGTTTTTTTCCATATTAATGCTAATTAATTAAGTATTTACGAAAATAGGGTCGGGTTAAAAGTATTTACGGATATACTGCTGGGCTTAACCATGGTCGGGTTAAGTCGCCAAACGGTTGGGCGACTTATAAGTCGCCAAACGGTTTGGCGACTTACCCCGACCATAGTTAAGCCCAGCAGTATATCCGTAAATACTTTTAACTCAACCCTATTTTCATAAATACTTAATTAATTAGCATTAATACAGAAAAAAACTCGTTTTGTGTTGGATTAATTATCTTTTATTTTGGACTTCCGTTGAATAAGAATGATATAAATTTTACCCTCAATTTTCTATTGAAATATTTTCTAAAATAGCTATAAGAATATTATTTCAATAAAGTGAGTTTTATTCATATTGGCAATTAAATTTTCTAGTGACAAATTTTCCAATAAAATGATCACAATTACATTATTTTATTGAATGTTTTCGAATTGAATTGAAAAGTTTTACTAAATGATAAATGACCGTGACATCTGTCCCGAACCGGCCAGACCGGGCGGGGTGGGTGTTACAAAGTAAATGCATCCTTGTTCTTGCAATTGAAGTTTCTTTATTCTTATTTTTGGAATTTTCCCCATGCTACAACAAGAAAAGAAAAATAAGCACTATAAAGAACTAATTTGGAAATACTTAAATGGGTTGTATTCTTTATTTAGGATAGGAGAGATAGTAAAGTAATAATCAAATACACACACAAATTCAGGTCATGAATTTCCTAAACGGAGTGCCATCCGTCCGCCGCTGTGTGGGGCGGTTTTCGGTGGTATTTTTTGCTGATATTTTGTGCGCATGTTCTTCATCAAATGTAATTTATCCACATCAAATTTCAACTTAAAATTCATTCGGGAAGACAAACAAATATTTTTTTGAAGATAAATTTGTTTTATATGTATGTTTTGGCCCAGTTAACTTCAAAAATTTACTCCGTATTTGACTGTCTTCCCGACAACATTTTTAGCTGAAATTTAGTGTGAATAAACTAGATTTGACGGAGAACATCCAGAAGAAATTTCACACATATTCTGTACTCTACTACATCACCAGGGGCGGAGCCAGGATTCGATTGAGAGGGGGGCCAAAAAATACGGAATAACATATTATTACGTACATAATACAAATGCAATAATATTAAATACAATATTGAAATTCATTTAAAACATTCAAAAATACATGATTAAAAATGATATGAATTAAAATTTAGTGTAGCTCTTACATGGCACGAAAATATCGGACTTTGATATAAGCTTGTATAAAATATCATCAAATATTTAAATATTGAAATAAACACTGAAGAGCCCTGAAATGAATTTTTCACATAAAGTTATCTTAGCTCAAGCTCAATTTCATCTCTAAACTAAGACAATATAGATAGTATATACTAGCAACTTCTTAAATAATTAAGAATTCCTTAAATAGATACTCGAAAGTTGCAATAACGTATTTCCTTAAAGTCTGGGCTTATTTACTTAACTTAAGCTCTTATTTATTTTATTACTTAAGCTCTAATTTGCTTAAACTATAATCCAAATTTCCATCTTCATCCAAGGAGTTGAGCTCAACCATTGAACTCATTACCCATTTTGTCTCTACTGTCTACTCCTTTTTTTTCAAGTAGACACACAAATATTCCAAACCTACTTTTCTTGTTATTATACTTAGATTGAGCTTTAAAATTAAATGATTTGAATGGGGTTGTTTAGCTCCCAAATCGAGAATTGCCATTCAGCCGTATGGCTGATAGTAGTGATGCAGCTTAAATTTGTGGGAACTAAAAAAGAACTCATACTAATAACTAAAAATTCAAAAGGTGGGAGGGGCTAATCACTTATCCTAATTGAAGAATTTTTACTCCATTTAAATATAACTTTCATGTCAAAGTATTTGGAGTTAATCAAATAAGTGGGCAAATATGTTAAACCAAATCTGATGAAGTGCTAAAATATTTTTATTAAAAAAAAATATTATATTTTAAACCAAATCGGATGAAGTGCTAATCTTTTTTTTTGCTAAAATATTTTTATGTTTTCCGTTTGGGAAAAGGGAAATAACGTTTGGTGTGTGTAGGAGTAGGGATGGCAACGGGGCGGATCGGGGACGGTTTTACATATAACCGTACCCGCCCCGTTTGGTAATTCCCCCGCCCCATAACCGCCCCATTACCCAACGGGTAATTTTTACCCAAACCATAACCGCCCCATCGGGTAACGGGTATAACCGCGGGTAACCGTGGGTAATCACTTTATTAAATGAGTCATTGATATTTTAACAAAAATAATATTTTAAAAAGCAAAAAATGACATCACCTATACAACGCTAAACTCATACGCTACTTTACAGCTTCATATATCTATAAGACGAGAAAGAAGACAACCTAAATTAATTTTAACCTAAAAATACTTAATGTGAAAAATAATTAAACACGAAAAATCATATAATAATCAAACAAAACTATTAAGTTCTATTGAGAACTTTCATTCTTACACTATAGTTAGTACATCTATTATCCATATATACACAATGAACATTAAAAATCTCATCTTTTATTAGTCGTGGGACAAATAATAGATAAGAATGTAATAAAAATATAACTAAAAATAAACGGGGCGGGTACGGGGCGGGTAATGGGGCGGGCATGCATAAAACCGTAACCGCCCCGTTACCCGTAAAAACAAAACGGGTATTCCCCGCCCCATACCCATTACCCGGTCAATGCGGTTTTCCCCATTTTGACCGGGGCGGTTCGGTGCGGGTATCCATCGAATCGGTCACAATTGCCATCTCTATGTAGGAGAATCAAGCAGGAGTGTTTTGACATGAAGAGCTGAGTCATCACTGGTTCCAACTCTTATCTGATGGCCGGTGATGATCCGGTGGCGAGCTGGGAGGCTGTTCAAACGACCAAAAGAGATCTCTCATCTTCTCCAACTCCACTCGCTCAACATAAAAACTTGTCTTGATCACGACGAGTTGCTAGTCTCCCAATTCGTATTGTCCGCTTGTTCGATATCGCTTCATTTCGCGCGATCGGTATTTGAAAACACTCCGATCACTCCATCGCTCTTCACGTGGAATTCGTTGATGAGAGAGTACTCGAAAAGCTCCAGTGAGATTGAGTCCGTGAAGTTGTTTATCCGGCTTTTGAGAACAGGAATAAGACCTGACAAGTTTGTTTTTCCCGCCGTGCTTAAATCTTGTGGGTGCCGCTCCATGGTTGGAGCTGGTGGATCAGTTCATTCAATGTCGATGAAGACTGGGTTTGCTTTTGATGTGAATGTGAATAATACTCTCCTGAAAATGTATGCTGCATGCGGTGTGATTGCGTTCGCAAGGAAGGTGTTCGATGAAATGCTTGACAGGGACATGGTTTCTTGGAGCTCTATGATTTCTAGCTATGTTGCTTGGTGCGGATTTTTTTTTCTATTTGGTTTTCATGTATCTTAACTTTATTTGTAGTTTGGTTTGTTTGAATAATCAAATCTTTCCATCTCAAGATGAGGTTCTGCATATGACTTGACACATTTATCAAGAAACTAAAATTGTGTGGTAGAGATTTATGAACCACATAACTCTTTTCTTAAAAGAAAAGATGATCCTTCTCTGGCATGAACCTTTCTTGGGACAGAGTAAAACGAATCATGTAACTCTTTTCTTAAAAGGAAACATGAACCTAATTTTAGGATGAATGAAGTACACGACAAGGAAGATTTTTTGGCACAGAGGGACTCACTGAGGTAGTAATACACCTAAAGATTAGACATGGGATTTAGTAGGAGAGTTTCTTGGATTGCTTTGAAAAACGGTTACAGTTTTGAAAAAAGTTCAAAAGTCATGTAAAGTGTGAATGACTAAGTTTTACATTTTAGTTCTGTATTCATTGGTTATTCTTATGTTTTAATACTTTTGAGAAAAATATTGATACCTGCAAGATTTCTTTTGTTAGCTAAATATCCATACCATTATATTATTGTATACACATTGCTCTGTAGAAAAGAATTATCATAGTAGAATTGCTTGATAGTATAATAAGGCATTGGACAAGAGTGTTCTGATCCCCTTTTACTTGTGATGTTGTACATTAGTAAACTCTGCTTTCCTCCCTAAAAACTTTTCCTTTTTTCTTAAAAAATGTATATATATCGAGTGGACATTATCCCTCCATTTGTAAATCTTTTGTGCATTGATGCATATATAGATATGAAATAATATTAATACCTATATGTAGCTCCTGTTTTCCTAGAAGGTGGAACTGTTTCCCTTCCATATCAGTCTTGAGTGTTCCTATGTACTTTTTGAATTTTTGTAGTAACCTCCCTTCAGATGCTATTGGGGTGTTCAAGGGGATGAAGCTTGCAAATGAGAAGGAAAGTTCAATCACTTTGGTGAGCTTGCTTGCTGCATGTACCAGTCTCCTAAATGCCAGACTAGGTGAGTCTATCCATTCGCAAATCCTGACTAATGGTATTGAGTTGCATGTTGGCCTTGGAACAGCCCTCCTTCAGATGTATGCAAAGTGCGCCCACATGGAAAAAGCCTTCCACATCTTCAATATAATGAACATCAAGAATCTGCAGTCATGGACAATAATGATATCTGCACTTGCAAATAATGGCCATGGAGAAGAAGCCATATCCTTATTTTCCAGATTGGAAAAATCCGGACTGAGACCCGACAGCTTGTCGTTTTCTGCCATTTTGTCTGCTTGTGGTCACTTAGGGCTTGTGGATAAAGGGCGTGACTTGTTCAGGAGAATGACGAGTGTCTATGATATCAAACCAAGTATGGAACATTATGGATGTATGGTGGACTTGCTTGGACGTGCGGGTAAGATAGAGGAAGCTTACAAGGTTATCATGCACATGCCGATGGAACCGAATTCTGTAATACTAAGGAGCTTTATTAGTGCCTGCAAACATTATGAATGCTTTGTTCCTCATATCAATGAGAACCTTAAGGAACTGTTGCTTAGAATAGAGCCTGATATTGCAGCCAACTATGTGCTTGCTGCGAATATGTCTTCCAACCAGGGTAATTGGGATGATGCAGATGGACTGCAAACTTGTATTAAAGAAAAGGGCATGGAGAAAGTTCCTGGTTGCAGTTGGGTGCAGCGGCTGATCTAGATCCTTTATTAAGCAAGTGTGGGCCAAAAAATAAAAGAGCATTTCTCTGTACTTAAAACTGTATCATTTTCGATTGATTTAGGACTGAGATGAAGTCACGTTGTTCCTGAAATTGATACTCAGAATCAAATTACAAAAAATGAATTGAATAGCATTTGTCTATCCTTCATCAATCAAACATACTATTTGTATACTTTTGGTATAATTTTCCCTTTCTCCTCTTCATCCAATCAAGTTTCTCCTCCATAAAACATGTTTGGATGAAAATCAGTAGTTTCACAAATAATTTTATTACTACGAATATGTTATACAAATAATTCATTGTATATATGCTCTTCTTGACAAAATCTTGATTCTCCGATTAAAAAATTTGTTGCCATCTTCTATGCCCTCCTGAAAGCTGGTTTGGCTGTATCCCCTTCTAACCCCATCACTTCAGGTTCTCAACTATATGCATAATTGCATACTGTAGAACATATATAATATATTCAATGCTTGTAACTGAAATCCTTTTCTGGAGTTTGGGTTTATGTGTTGTCATACTCTTCGCTGAATTCTTTGTATTTATAGATACATAAGTTCTGCATAAATAAGCTATGTTTTATATATTTATATGTAAATAAGTTTGGCATGTTTCTGGTAGATTCTGAGAATGGTAATGCTGATGACATAGGATTTTTCAAGTGGTTCTATCACTGGAGACAAAATCCAGGTCTGTGGCCATTCTTGATAAGTATTTGAAGTATTCTGATGCATGTTAGTGATTGCTTGTGAAATGCAAATGCCAAATTTATTGAATATGGGGAAATAGATCTATTTTGCTGCAAGTGCCCTATGTAATATGAATTTTGTGCACATCCTATTAGTTAGTATGGGTGGTGTATTAGTCTATTGTTGGTGGTGGTGTTATCATTCAAACCTAATGCCCTGTGATGGATTTCGAATTAAAAAAAAAGCAGGTAATTGTACATATTTCATGTTGCAAGTTTTGGAGTAAAATGTTTTTCCAATATCAGCATAAATGCTCATCACTATATAATGACCATATGAATCTTGTTTACTTTCTCATGCTTGCTTCTTTTTCATATACGGAGTATTTGTTTTTTGTTAGATGGGAAGAAAAATGAAATATATTAAGAAAGGTCTAGTCAAGCATTGTACATTGCAGCTTTATACGCTCATGTCATAGAAAACAAATATTTTTTATCTAGGAAAACAAATCTGTTTGCATTTTTTGTGTAAGCATTTCCCATTGATACTTTAGCATCTCAGCGTATTAAGTAACTTCATGAGAAAATTTTCCTTGATGACGGCTTATTCTAAAAAGTGGCACATCTTTAGTTTTTTATGCAAAATAACCTACTAAAATAATATTCCTTATATTAGGTATACGTAATAAATAGTTTGGGGCTCCAAAAGTTTAGGGTTCTGGAAGAAAGCTCATACGCCCCGCCACAATGCAAATGAACTGGTCTGCTCATAAGGCTAACATTAACACTCATATTTTCACTGTTTTGTTTCACCTTTCGCCTCACTTTACTTACAACCACACTATATTTCCTTTATCCAACTATTATTGTGTTTAATTTTTATATTTGCTTACAAAAACACTATGCAACAAGAAAAGTAATAACGCCAAAAATGGGATTATTTATATCACTAATTCACTATTGGTCATTACTCATCATCTTTGCCGCATATTGGTAACCCTTTGTGTCGAAGCTTTACATTTTATCTTCTGCAGGGCAGCGACTACTTGTAACATGTTAACTCTTTCATCTGGCAAGAATGCTAAGCATTTCATAGCCAAGTCGAAAATAGATGAAATACATTCAGACAAATGATCATCTTCTCTTGAAAGCAAACCAAGGTCCACAATTTCTCTTGTTCTATTTTGCTTTATGGCTTCAGTTACCCATCCCTTCATGCTAATTTCCCCACCAAACATATCATCTGTTGGCTTCTTACATGTGAACATCTCCACCAACAATATCCCGTAACTGTACACATCTCCACTTGTCGATACTTTCCCTTCAGCTCCATATTCTGTTAAAGTTTTTGTTGAAAAAAGCAGTTCATTTAGTTTGTGAACAAGTGCAAAAAACAACTATGCTTCATTTAGTAGCTATATATGGATGGTGCTGCCTATCGTGTGTCTCATTGGTTACGGTGAATGTTGCCTAACATTTTTTCCTTTTGGAAACCCAAGTGAATCTGGTCATTTAAGCATAACAACACAATAAACATGCACTGAAAACAATAAGTTGACCTTTTAAGATTACTACTAAAATAACATTAAGACTGTAATCACGTTTGAAAATAACACCATAGTTTGTGCATAGTAAAACCGGACATGACCATAAACATAATAGTTATTGCAAATATACCACCATGTCCTCAAAAAAATATTTTGTACATTAGTTTTTATGTTGGTCCTTTCCATCATTTGCGGTGGAGCCAAAGACTCGCTATTTTTTGGCTTGTAAATGTGATGGAATAAAGCAAAATGGCCCACTAAACTGTCTGCGCTTCTTTGTTATGAAGCAGCAATCGGTCTATGCAATTTTCGATGCGATTTTCACTATGGGTCATTCGGAAACAGTCTCTCTGTACTTTAGTACAGGGGTAAGGCTGCGTACATCCGACCCCCCTTACCCCACCATAGGTGGGAGCCTTTGCGGCACTGGGGTAATGAAGAAGAAGAGGAGTTTTTATGTTGGTCATACATATTATCATTTCTTATTATATGTTAATATACAAAGAAGCATCACCTGGTGCTGCGTAGCCAATAGTCGCAAACGTTTTAGTTTGAGCCATTTCCTCCCCTTCACCAAAGAGCTTAGAAATGCCAAAATCACCAACATGAGCAATCATATCTTCATCAAGCAACACATTGCTGGGCTTTATATCACAATGAACAACAGTGAATGTGTGATTGTGATGAAGATATTCCAACGCCAATGCAACATCTATTGATATGTTTAATCTCTGAACCAAACTCAAGCAATGCTCATCTTTAGAATATAAACATTTCTCCAGACTCCCGTTTGGCATGTATGCAAGAATCAAAGCTTTGAATTCTGTGTTGGTACAACAGCCAATGATTCGGACCAAGTTCCTGTGCCGGATGCTACTCAGAATCTCACTTTCAGTGTCAAAACTCTTGCTCGCTCCCTCTGATTGTAAGTTAAACACTTTTATTGCAACGTCTAATCCATCAGAAAGAGTTGCTCTAAAAACTGAACCAGAGCCTCCTCTTCCAATTAGATTCCTCTCATCAAAATAATTTGTTCCTTGCACGAGTTCCATATATGATATTCTTCGCCATAAAGATATATCATCATCGGCTGGAGGCGGTGCTTTTGTCTGTTTTCGTCTCTTTAAGAGAACAAGTACTATGATAAGAACCATAATGATGAATGCAATGAAGGGAGGGAGAATGTACTTCATTAAACGGGTTACGTTGTTAGACCGACTGTGATTTTGGTCTACACAAGTTGGAACCTGAAGTCTTTGACTTGCAACACTGCAAAGAGAGGGGTTGCTCAAAAAAGATTGAGCTGTGAAGCTGGCAAATCGGCCCTTGTTGGGAATCTCTCCTTGCAATTTGTTGTAAGAGACATTGAAATATGTAAGATCCGTTAGGGCTTCTAAGGAGTCAGGTATGAATCCCGAAAGACTGTTATCGGAGAGATCCAATGTTGTCAAGCCTCTGAGATTACCAAAAGACTCAGGGATTGATCCAGTGAAGTGATTACCAGCCAACCATAAGTTCTCTAGTGATAGACAATCTTTAATCGAGGTCGGGATTTCACCAGAAAATTGATTAGAAGACATGTCTAGGCTACCGATTGCTTTCCAATTTCCAATCCGTCTTGAAATTTGTCCACTGAGATTGTTGGAGGATAAGTCTAGTGTAATCATGTTTGTAAGATCCCAGAAGGTGGAAGGTATGTTGAAACTCAAGTTGTTGAAGGCGAAGGAGAGCGTATTCAAGTTTGCCATTTCACCGAAACATTCAGGAATTGGGCCAGTAAGTAAATTGACACTCAAATTCAATTCCCCCAAATTTCTTAGTTGGCAAAGATCGGAAGGGATATGGCCTTCCAGCCGATTACCACCGAGAAGTATTCTGGAAGCGGAACTTAGGTTCACTAATGTCGGTGGGATGGAACCACTAAGCTGATTTTCAGCCAGATATAAGCTTTGCAAGTTTGTTAAGTTTCCGATTCCGGGAGGAATAGGGCCAGTGATGTTGCAGTCGGATGCCATGAAGTTTAGTAGAGATTTGGATAAGTTCCCGATGGAAGGCGGGAGAATACCATTGAGTGGATTGTCTGTTATTTCCAAGTGCTCCAAATACTGGCAATTTGTCAACGAAGTAAGGAACCCGAGGTGTTGAGACGGGGACACCGCTCCTGTGAGATTGTTTTCCCAAAGACGGAGTGTTTGAAGAAATGTCAAGCTGCTAAAGTCAGGTATGAGGCCAGATAAGGAGTTTCTATTGAGCTCCAAAAGTGTGAGCATGGAAGCGTTAGCAATGGAGCTCGGTATTCCGCCGTGAAGCCGGTTTAGTGACAAAATGAGAACTTGAAGATTTGAAGGCGTCGCTAGGAACGGAGGAATACTGCCAGAAAGCAAGTTTTGTTGAAGACCTACTCTGGTCAATGCAGAGATGTTAAACAAGGAAGCTGGTATGGAGCCATTTAAGTTATTATTGTAAGCTGCTCCAAAGACCTGAAGGTTTGCAAGATTGCCCAGCTCTTCTGGTAATTCACCTGCAGAAATAACCAAAAAGAAGATGATTATACAACATGGGAGAGAGCTCTTAAAGCAATAACCAACAAGAAGAAATTGTAATTGATGTAATTAGTTTTATAAAAATTTACCTGTAAGATGATTAAAAGAAAGATCGAGCGTAACCAGTGAAGTGAGGTTTCCAATTTGCTTTGGTATGTTACCTGAATCATATACAATCATTATACACACTTCTGATTAAAGAAATTCTGAAACTAGTTATGGGATTCATTTGAGGGTTACTATTGTCTGAGTTGCATATTTTAAGTCATAGAAGGTTTAACTTTTACAGTGTAATGCAGTTTAATTACAAGGTGTAATTAATTATTAGTGTAAAGTACACAAAATATAATGGAAGGGTATGTGTATGCAAGACTCTGTCTGGTTCTAAAAAGTCATTATAGTATATTCGCAGTCACAAAATGTAAGATGTATTTTAGTTTGATGCAAGATTTGTAAAAAGAAATGGGATCAATTCTATTTTACAAATGTGACTAAAAAGCTAGTAAATTTAAATTAGTAAAGTATTCATATCTTTAGAATATTCAAAATGGGTATGTGCGTATATCTTACAAAATATGGCATATGAAATTTTGAAATGGTTGCATCCGTATTTGGCTTTATGGCTTTACGTTGTAAGTTATTGAAAATGATCTACCGAGTACTACTATTTAGAAAAGGAGAACCCTCAATCCATAATGTTTTACGGAGGATGTATCTATAGTTAAGGAAAAATTGAAAATAATAATCTCAACTACTGCCGGTCCGCTGACAATAATCTCAACTATTGATTATTTTTGTATAATCCTAATTATATGTATCGTCTGTCAATAGTGGTCCATGACCAAATATTACCTCCTATTACAAGTGATCTTTAAAATTATTGAGTTTTTAAAAATTTTCAAAATGTCAATATCCCGAAAACAGATGGTCAACTCATTAATTACATGTAGTAAAATACATATACTGCGTACCTGTTAAATTATTACTCTTTAAATCCAATAGCTGAAGCTGAAATAGTTTGTGAAAAGTGCTGGCTGGGATACTTCCAGTCAAGCTGTTGCCAGAGAGGACCATCATTGTCATAGAAGAAATGTTAAAGATGGAAGCCGGAATGTTTCCTGTTATAGCAATAAAAAATTAAACATAAAAAAAACATTTGTTTTTAAAAAATTAAACATAAATTTCATTCTCCAAAAAAAAAACATTTTTTTGTCAAAGTGCTAAACTTTGACCATTAGTTTCAATAAAGGGCTTCTCACCATTTGTCATACGTTACTTTAATCATTTCATGATAATTATTTTCAATTTATTTTTATGTAAATTTCATACAACTATCTTTATAATTTCAATAGCTAATTAAGTATATTAACGGCCGAAAAATTACATGTTTAATTTATAAAGTAAAAGTCAAAGCATTATAATCAAATAAGAACGAACTAATATACTTTGGTGAAGTTTATAAACCCTAAGTTTGTACATGTGTTTAAGTGCATTTCAACAAAGGCAATCCTGTATTACGTACTATTCCGTATTTTATTATAAATAGCACTACGTATTAAAGATTATCATGCATAAAAATGTAGTCAAAGTTTGACATTTTTTGATGATTCAAAGTTTGCTTGAAAAATCTAAAAAGTCAAAATTGTCAAATCACTTTTGCACGGGTAGTGCTATTTATAAAATACTGAGTAAAAGATTAAAGTAGATCCATTAACTACCCATCCCATTGGCATACTCTATTTGTTAAGTACCTAGAAAAATCTGTTTTCACTTTTACTAATGTCTAGCTAGAAAATTCAATTAAAATAATGTTAAAGTTCATAAATAAAAGGTTTTATTTATGAAATAAATAAAACATATTAATCTTATTTTTAAAAGGTTTTAAAAGGTTATAATTAAATAATTATTCAAATTTGAGAAATAAAACATATTAATCTTATTTCAAAATTTTGTGTATGTTGTAGTGTATACTATGCAATTTATAAATAATTTAGTATATTTTTTTTAAAAAAAAATCAGTACTTACCAGTGAAACGGTTTGACCCAAGATTCAAAATAGCCAGCATGGTCAAACTCCCAAGTTGACTTGGTATATTCCCACTGAAAAGGTTTCCGGCCAAGCGCAAGTCTTGCAGCTGTGCACACTTCTGTATATCTCCGGGAAGCTCTCCGGTAAGCCGATTTCCGGTCAGATATATTCTCTCTAGCTTCGAATAAGAGCTGTTCCGACACATATCCGCCGGAAGATTCCCCGACAGCCTATTATACCTCATATTAATCTCCACCAAAGAAGGCATATTGAACAGAGAAGAAGGGATTGATCCAGAGAAGGAATTATTATTGAGATACAGAATCTGAAGTTTAGGGAAAGCTCCAATCCATGGTGGGATTTCTCCTGTGAAATTGTTGAAGCTAATGTCCAGAGATTGAAGGGATGTTAAATTCGAAAGGTATGGGGAAATGGGTCCTTGCAGATTGAAGTTTGAAATGTTCAGGGAAGTGATGAAGCTGATGATGGTGGCTCTAGTGCCGCGTTTGGTGTTGCAAGAAACGCCAATCCATTGACAGATTGAAGTGTTTGACCAGTTCTTGCCGTCAAAGACGCCGGAGGGGGTGGAGTCTTTCTTGAAAGCTAAGAGTGCTTTTTCATCATCACTTAAAGAATCCGGCGGAGGCGGCGGCGTGATGGCCGCCGATGAGGTTATGATCGGCGTGAGATTGTTTGTTGATAACAAGAGTGTCAGAGATAGAGATAGGAAGATGATGTAATTTTTCTCCATTTAGAATTGTTTAATGAATGGATTGAAGGGTGATGGGCAAGAGTTCATTAGTATGTATTGTTAGCATAAATGCATTTCCCTCAAATATAAATAATAACCTTGCGCGTATGGTATTTTTGTGAGAACAAAATCAACTTTCATTAATGAAGTCATAGTCCAAAACAATACAATCAGGTGGGTAGGAAATCCAATTTAAGCATACGCTTTAAAGTATTCAAACTTTATTCATTTAGCTTTCATTGAATTCCATGACACTTGAGAATAGAGAACCCGTCCACTCTTCCCTCTTTACACTATCATTACACTATATATAATGTGTGTGTACAATACATACTCAGATCGATATATGTATATTATATTGCTTTCTTTTTTCCTTCTGTCCTTATACGGAGTACTTGTTTGTAACTTATAGTATCCTCCGTATCGTATTAGTTGCAACATTAATCGCAAAATATACACTATTCATGTTCTCTATTTTGACTACATTTTATTTATTAATTAATGTGAATTTTTATTTTTGAAAAATATGGTTGAATTCATCTCATTGTTAAGTTTCATAATCTGATATTTTATTATTTTTTACTAATACATAATTAAATATAATGACAGTCAAAGTTGTGCGATGGTAAATGTGGAAAACAGAATGTTGCAACTAAAAAATAATGCAAGAAGTATTTGTTTGTATTAACAAAATTCCTTTTCTCCAAATATGTACTAGTATATATATATATATATATATATATATATATATATATATATATATATATATATAATAACTTGGATTTATATGTTATAATAAGAAAAATATGAATGAATCTAGAGCAAATTTGAGAATTGAGCAATTTTTGACATTGAAGTTGCACTATCATGGAAAGGAAATATGATAGCATTTTTGTATGTAAGATAAGCTTTTTATATTGTTGTGAAAAGTGTTTTATCTTAATCAGCAACTCAATAAAATTTCAATGCACCATTTTGTATCATTCTCAGCTCATTTCTTAAAGGAATAATCGTTCTCATTAGAACTCAACGATTCTACACTACCCAAAAAATACGGGATTGACAAGGATTTGTTGCAGATATTTTCTATATTTGGCACGGATTTTTGCAGGAATATGCCAAATTCGTGCCAAAAAACAGTTTGACACGAGCTATTTGGCACGAAATTATCAAAAAATCCGTGCCAAATATTTGAGTGTCTCATAACTTTATTCATTTGCATATTTGATTTTATTACTCATAATTTTATCCACATTAAGAATATCTTCATCGGAAAGCACACTTCCCTATGAAGATTCTAATGTTGACGATGTTCTTTTAGGCATGCTTTTGCTGAAACGTGAACTGTTCGATAAAATATCCTTAAAATGGACAAATTTAATAACGAGTGTCATCGAAAGTTATCCTGCAAATTCCTTTCATAAATAGGTGATTTTTACAAATGTAAAAAGTGCACTATCTCAACATAAAAGTGCATTGTGGAACTGGGAAAGTAATTATTTCACATTTCACAAGTTAAATACCTTTTTTATTTGAATCACACCTTATTTATATGCATTCCCGCCGGGTTCGATCCCCGGCAACGGCATATTTTCTTTTGCCCGCTCCTTGTGCGATCTTAAGACCTGGCCGCCATCGTTTTTAAAAAATATATATACATTCCCGCCATCTTAAGCTAATTTTGTTGTTTGGTTTGTCACAAGTATTACTAAAGTCAATAAAAAGTAAAAGATAGGTGTGGTTGATATTGAGTATTGGGTAAATTGTGAATTAATGATATGGACGTCATAAAAGTTTATATGAAATAACTTTTGGGTGTGTGTATCGTGATTATCTCCGCCATGTATGTCTTCTCTTTAGGTCCTCTCCATGGTTTGAAACAATCTCCTAGCATGTGGTTTCATAGGTTTAGAAGCTATCTTCTTTCTTTAGGTTTTTGTTGAAATTCACTTGATCCTTCTATATTTCTTTACCATAGAACATCGAACCCTATCGTTCTTTTACATTATACTACCTCCGTCCCTTGAAACTTTGCCAAGTTTGACCGGCACGGAGATTAATAAAGTAAAAACTGTGTGGTTGTGGTTTGTGCAGAGGAGAGAGAATTAACTGGAACCACAAATTCTTTACTTAAAATAGAAAGTGGCAAAGTTATTGGGACAACCAAAAAGGGAAAGTTGGCAAAGTTTTAAGGGACGGAGAGAGTATATACTCCATCTTTACATCTGTCAGCTCATGGGCTAAGAAGCTCGGCCACAGTGAGTATTGGGCCTATCTTGTTGGTCTTGAGCACGTGCCCTCAACGGTTGAAGTTTCTAGATGCGCCCGTGCCACAATTCATATGGTTAAATCCATATGTGAGGTTTAATGCACCAAACCCCTCTGTGATTTGGAAATTCGGCGCATTAGTCCCCTGTGATTTAAAAAATGCGTCAACCCCCCTGTGTTTTAATTAATCATGCGCCAAATCCCTTATGTGAACAAATTCAATTGTCAAATAAAAGAAAAATGATTAACATTTTTGTATGATTCAGAGATTTTGACATATTTATTTGCATATTCAATCAAAATATTAGGAAAAGTGATTTTCAAATCGTTAAATTTATTCATAAAGGGGGTTCTGTGCATGATTAATTAAAACACAAGGGGGTTTGACGCATTTTTTAAATCACATGGGGCTAATGCGCCGAATTTCCAAATCACAGGGAGTTTGGTGCATTAAACCCCATTACCCTCCATATGTGAGTGTACTATACTAGTATACTACTATGCAGGTGTACGAATGATATCTTCGGATTTCCATAATTTGAGTTGTGCTAGATGTACACATTTGGGTGTACATCTTTCGTACATTCGTTTGTTTCACGCACAAACAATTGTATGTCTACAGACAATTTTACAAAGTTGTTTAAAACCGTTATTTGTAGACAAATAATTGTATGTGCGTGAAACACACGAATGTACAAAAGATATATATCAAAATGTGTACAAAAAACATTTTTCCAATAATTTACACAGATATATTCATCCCCGCCAAAAAGAAGACAAAACGCACACTAACCATTGTACACAAAAGAACGAAAATCAATGTTAGTATTTCACCATAAAAAGATTACTCAATTTCCGGATAATGTTTGTCAAGTATGACTACTTTGGGGAATTCGGTGACGATTTTGAGTCGTTGTTTGTTGTCTCTATTATTATGATTAATCATGGAAATTGATAGTGGAATCAAGAGGGGTGCTTGATATAGCGTCCGCCAATGGAGGCTAAATTTTCAAATCGGGACCACATACTTTCTTCATTCTCTTTTAATTGCAACGGTCAACATTTCACGTTTGCCAACGCACAAGTTTGACCATTAATATCTTTCATTCCTTATTAGAAAAAAATTTAAAAAATTCATATTTTGAAAATTTTGAATGAGAACAATTTAACAATATTTTTAAAAAATTTAATTTCTAATACATTAATTAATAAAATATATTCAAAGTAGAATATGTGAATAGTGCAAAAAATCTAATGTTGCAATTAAAAGAGAACGGTGGAGGTAGTACATATTTGCTTTAACTTTTACTCCGATCCCTATTATTTTTCATTTTATGACAAATCATTTATTTATAAATAAATAAGTACTCCATATATGTTTATCACGAGTACAATTTAGGTGATCTCAGTTGTTTGGGCACAATTTCAAGGTTTTGGTACGCGGAAATGTACAAATGTATCTGTCATCTTTAGCTTCAAGAGTTCAAGGCAGATATATTTTTAATGTTTTAAAAGGTATAAGATTCTCTAAAGTTCATGTCTAGAAGCAAATTACCTTTATTAACTTTAAATAAATAAAAATATATGTAAAAATGTAAAAAAAATAAAAAATACTTCGTATATTGAGAATTTGGAGATCAGATTGAAAGATAAAAAATTTTAAAAAATCAATTTTGTGTTCAATGCTTCATTTTTATATTTTATATCAATTAATAATGTTCACATAATAATGGTTTTGCCCCGTTGTTTCACAAAATGTGTTGAAAAATTAAAAATTAAAAAAAAACAATTTGTGCTTAATGCTTTCTTTTACCTTAATAAAACCCCGTATTAAATTTTGATAGAAATCTTAAAAAGGAAGTATTACACACAAAATGGATTTTTTATCTTAATAATACCCCATAAGACAATGTGTATTAAATTTTGATAGAAATCTTAAAAAGGAAGTATTACACACAAAATGGATTTTTTATCTTAATAATACCCCATAAGACAATGTAACAACCCTACTAATATGTTCTCTCTAATTCTTTATCATATTATTCAAAGAGTGTATAATTTTAGTTTTTTAGAAGGTTTTTAATACTCATTGGAAAGTTTTAAATAATTAGCTTTATCTTATTTTAACTCTAATATTATCCTTAAAAAATTTATGCAATTGGCAATATTTTTTTTGTAGATGGAGTGATTTCGGAGTTAGATTTGAACTAAAAACATAATAATGCACATTATAAAGATAAAAAAAATAACAGATTACATTACAGAGACCTAAAGCAAAATGTCATATTTGTAGGGATAAAAACGTAAAAACTTATTTAAACCTTACAGTTTTCATATTTTGCTATATAAGTTCTACGTACTTCCTATTTTAATTTATGCTATTCGGCTAGAGGGATACCGAATGAATTCTGAACACATGGTTTTTTATAACAAATAATTAAAAAAACATTCGCAAGTAGCTTTTTGGAAAACAGTTTTTTATTTAGAAATTGTCATAAATAGGAGTAAAAACGTTTTGAAATCCAAAATAAGACCCTTATGTTTTCCCCTCTACATATGAGTAATATCTGCCAAATTTAGCATTATCAGGCTTCAAACATGGCAGTTTTTCCAAACATGACATAAATTACTCTCATATAGGGAATAAAAACATGACAGACCTAGTTTGGAATTCCAAAACATGTTTACTCCCATTTAGGTATCGGAAATTTACCCATTTTTATTTAAGTCTTTTACATAGAGAAGCTAGAGATGTGGAGTAGTTTACCCTAGCCCCCCAAACCCCTGACGCCCCCTGGATTTTAAAAAGAGTG